TGAATGGACTTACCTATAGAACGTGCTTTGACTCTAAAGGCAAATGGATGTAACACAGGCCCTGCTCTGTAATGGCAGCCAGTGTTCAAATACCACACTGAATAAAGAATGAAAAAAAAAACAAAAACAGCAACAACAACAACAACAACAAAAAACAATAGGTGAGCCTGAAGCAGGAAATGACTTTTTTGTTACCCAAAAGAACTATAATTGTCTCAAAATGTTATCAAATAAAAAAAAAATGATAAAGGACTATTTAAAACTTATTTTAGGACTAAACTATAAATGAACATTCTTAATTGTATAACTTGCTGAAAGTTCATTGTCAAGTCTAATGCAACTTAGCAAACGGTTAACCCAACTAATTGACTAACTAACTGACTGACTGACCGACAGATAGACAGACAGACGGACAGACAGACAGACAGACAGGCAGAAAAATACAAACATAACTAACAGAAGTCCTGTAAAGCAGTTCTTCATAAAAACTTAAAACACACACACTGTTAAATGGTTAGAATGCGTACCATATTTAATAATATTTTGTCAGTTTAGTTAAAAACAGAGAAAATGTAAGACATGTTGTTTGTCTACAGCTTATTAAGTTATGTTTGGTCTGTCATTTGTGCAGTAAGATCCAGTACAGGTCTTGGATGAATATAAACTGAGACATTTTGACAAATATGGTAAATTAAATGATATCAATTAACCTTTCTTGTGTTCTGGAATTTCTCCCCTTGCTGCTAACAGAAATATTGCTCCCAAACGACTCGGTCTGTGATAGATGAGAGAAAAAGAAATACAACTTTTCTATGGTAGGGTACAAAATAACAACAGAGAGATATTACAAATTTACATAACCGACTTTCATGAAACCATGAAGAATATCACAGTTTGAGCAGGATAATTTAGCAGGTTTTTCTTAAAGCTCTCAAAGGAAACAGCTGTAAACGGTGACTAGTGAAAATCTCAACCCCTGCTCCAACACTATCACACCAAACACCTTGAAGTTCCATGGATCAGCCATACACTGTAACTAATAACTTATTGTGCTTCTTATATAATTTATTTCAAACAGTTTGACAGCACTTGACAAATTTTCAGCACTTTAATTGAGAGGAAATATGGGAGGAAAGGGAAAAGAAGGGAGGGGAGGGTAAGAGAAGGTTGAGGAAAGAATGACGGGGGAACAGGAGAAGAAAGTAAAGGAAGAGCCAGTGAGGTGGAGTGGAATGGAGGGTGTGCCCTGATGAGAGAAGAGGCTACATAATTAAAATACTAATAATATACATGAAAAAATTACTC